AGCAAAGTTACAACCCATACTTATGTAAATGGCACATGATGATGGATTTCTGTCTTAATCATTGCTTTTGTTTTCAACATGGGGTATTAAGGCACCGCATCTCATTAGCTCACAATCATAATCTAGGGAATCAAGCAGACAAATTTACATTTTTAATTAATTTTGTTGCAATTATCAATTTATGGAATCAAGCGCACATACACCCAAATTTACAATGAAATTTGTTATAATCATCAATTTATGGAATCAAGCACACACACCCAAATTTGTAATGACATTTTTATAATCATCAATTTATGGAATCAAGCGCACACACAACCAAATTTTTAATGAAATATGTTGCAATAATCAATTTATGGAATCAAGCGCACACACCCACATTTTCAATGAAATTTGTTGCAATAATCAATTTATCGAATCAAGCACACACACCCACATTTTCAATGAAATTTGTTGCAATAATCAATTTATGGAATCAAGCACACAAACACTAACATTTTCAATGAAATTTGTTGCAATAATCACCTTATGGAATCAAGCACACACACACCCAAATTTTCAATTAAATTTGTTGCAATAATCAACTTATGGAATCAAGCACGCACACACCCACATTTTCAATCAAATTGTTATAATTATCAATTTATGGAATCAAGCATATACACAAATTCTCAAATGAAATTTCTTACGATAATCAGTATTCAAACAAGGGCTGCAATACGTTAACACACAAATTTACATATGATTCTTGTTTTTTCTTTCGTTCGCTTGAAATAGATTATTTATATCTGCAATGTTGTCTTTAGTATAAACTTCACTGTCTCTTGTGTGTGTATGTGTATTTATATGTGTATATATATGTGCGTAAAATTATATATAAACATATAAAATTGATTAAATAAGTTTAGTAAACAACCCTTTTTCAGGCGAACTGAGCATATAGGGCTAGACCTATATTTTATAGACCCATCAGCACTCGGTGGGTGATGTGGTCAACAAACTGTCGACAAACTCTACTTCCTAGGGTCAACCTGGGGGCCAAGGTCATTTCTGAAAAAGGTCCTGCTCCCCCCCCAGGACCCGAACCCCGGACCTTCAGATCTGCAGGTCAGAGTCTAGCAGCTGCGACACCATAGCAGCTCCCATATCATAGCAACTGCACTGCTAGTTACAACAGGAAATGACAGAGCTGTAGTTCTTCTTCTTCTTCTTTCGTTCGCTTGAAATAGATTATCTAAATCTGCAGTGTTGTCTCTAGTATGAACTTCACTGTCTTTTGTCATTCACTCAGCGAGCCATAAAGTTTGACTTGCAACTATCTTTCTCTTGGCCACAAGTTTTAGCTTGATGTGTTGTATTTGGTACAGTCTTGGAGGATATGATCTGTTGTCTCAGGTGCCAGTCCACCTGTGGACATGGCTGATTCGCCTATTTTAAATGTTTGTGTGGAACTGTGGTGTTTTTTCTTTTATCTTAAATCATTTCTTTTTGACAATGAAAACCTCTTCAGTGATGTTTTTTTGGAACAGATAATATTCAATTCTCAAAGGGGGCTATGACATGTAAGCATATAAATATTGATATGTAAGCATATAAACATAATCACAACAGAAGAGAAAAGAATTATAAATTTCCTTCAGATTGCCAAATAACCCAAGGTAAACCTTTTCAGTGAAGTTTCTTACAAGAGATAATAGTAATGTTCACAATAAGGGCATTTAAACCCATGAACCACCGGGCTGGTAGACAAGGATATTAGCGCCTGCACCACAACTACTCACTTCGTATGTCTGCATGTACAAAACAAATCACCCATCATTAGGACCCTTACAGAAGATCACTCTCATCACTGCAGGTCTAAAAGGTCTTCTCTAGCCAATTTTCCAGTTCTAATGCATCTTTACTGTCTTATCCACGTTGGTGGTGGTTTGCCTCTGCCTAATTTTCCAAAAAATGCCCCCCTCCATCACTACTTCTCCCCAGCCCACCACGACATACAAGAAATAACCTCATTTATTTGGTCACTCTCCAAGTGGGTTCCAGGGCCCCCTTGTGTGTGTGTGTGTGTGTGTGTGTGTGTGTGTGTGTGTGTGGGGGGGGGGGGGGGAACAAGAACAGACCCACTGCCTCCCTAAAAAAAATAAGCATGTTGTAGCAGTCGACTATCTGGAGCCATCCTTCGAAGACAGAGAACATCTAACTGAGAGGCAAGGAACCAACAGTCTGCATACAAATAAGTCAGATATGTTCAACTGATGTGCATGCAACACTCAGGTTCCGGAACAAGACAAAAGTCCAGAGGTGGACGAACATCCAGAACTTTCCGCCAGAGTTAGCAGAGGGTGAATGCGAACATTTTTTTAAAAAATTAAATTTGGTCACAATGAAACAAATGATAAGAATAATCACAACAATGACAATTATTCACTATGTGCGCTTAGTTGTTCCTCTTCAGCCTAAGGCTGCACAAAGGGCAGAGGTCGTAGCTCTCTATGTCTGGCGGTTCACTGCCACCTGATTTAGGTCTTAAATATTTATAAGGCCCATAGTTAAGCCTTCCCTGATGATGGTTCTATGCAGTCTCTCTTGGTCTACCAAGAGATCTTGGCCTTCTGTGCGCTGGCAAAGCTAAAAATATGCGGTCTTTAAAGTCAAACTACAAGAGAGACATACTATAACTTGTTTCTATTTATAAACACTGAGGAATAAAGAAGAACATTTAATGTTAAGTCTCATTTACACACTAGCTCACTTCTGATTGGTAGTTCCTGAACCCCGTGACCTTCATTCCATGATGCCATTGATATCGTGTGTTGAATATTTCAGCATGCCAGCGCTTTTAACACTCCAAAAACATGGAGAAACGCCCTAATACAACCCCCGTGGAGAGTGCTGCAACCTATGTTACAGGCATTCTCTTTCTCGGAAAAAAAATGTAAATACAAGAAAACGCAGAAAGCAAACAATAGAGCGGGACACACCGACCAGCCCAACAAACCTTGAGGAATAAAGTATAAGTTCTGTCCACTGCAAACTAAAAGAAAGACATACTATAACTTGTTTCTATTTATAAACCTTGAGGAATAAAGTATAAGTTGTGCCTACTGCAAACTACAAGAAAGACATACTATAACTTGTTTCTATTTATAAACCTTGAGGAATAAAGTATAAGTTGTGCTTACTGCAAACTACAAGAAAGACATACTATAACTTGTTTCTATTTATAAACCTTGAGGAATAAAGTATGAGTTGTGCCTACTGCAAACTACAAGAAAGACATACTATAACTTGTTTCTATTTATAAACCTTAAAGAAAAAAAATTAACTCCAATTGTACTGGAGCAATTGTAACACACTTCAAGAAAACAAAATGCTGCCTTTACATCTAGAAAAACAACCAAATATACCTTATTTCTAGTGCATACATGTGTGTGGGAAGGGGGAGGGAACAAGACAATATAACTTATTTCTACTGCATACATGTGTGTGGGAAGGGGGAGGGAACAAGACAATATAACTTATTTCTACTGCATACATGTGTGTGGGAAGGGGGAGGGAACAAGACAATATAACTTATTTCTACTGCATAAATGTGTGTGGGAAGGGGGAGGGAACAAGACAATATAACTTATTTCTACTGCATACATGTGTGTGGGGAGGGGGAGGGAACAAGACAATATATCTTGTTTCTATTGCATGCAGAATAACAAATTATACCTTACTTTTTTTACACAATCATTAAAGAAAAAAATATACCTTATTTCTTCTGCATTCATCCTAAAGAACAAGAATACATTGTTTATATTGCCTGCAGCGAGAAAAACTCTATGAATACACCTCAAAGACCAACACACACAAAAACCCCAAGAAAATACCATTTCTTTCTGTTTTGATGAACAAGAAATTAGTTTCCTTCTACTGCAGATATTAATAACGACAGTATTATTCATCTTTCACATGTTTCCCGTTTCCTTAAAGAAAAAAAACAAAAACAACAACTGCGCTCAAAGAACAGAATTGATTCAACAGATTACAAAGCTTTCTAACATAAGTGCTACCTCAATCACAGCATTAGAGAACAAGTCACAAAAATGGATACAAATGCTTCAACTTATGTCATTTATTTACTTCTTTTAAAGTTGTGTGGTTAGCCTTGATTTACTGACTTTAGACTTCCAGTTAATATGGTGCTTACACAGGCTGACTGTTTTTTTTAGTGGCTGCAAGTTTTTGCTTCTGACAATAGTCAGGCACTGCATTTTCTTTAACAGTAGACTGAAAGGACACAGCTCCATCACCCAGCTTCTTAGCTGAGTGCATTGTGGGACACTGTGCTTTGCCGAGTGTTTATTTGTCTTTACAAGGGGCAGCGGTGGACAGTCTGTGTGGTTTTCCTTAGCAAAAGGGACGGTGCAACTATGGGATGACTCGTTGGCACTGTGATAACCTACTATCCTTCAACAAACGTGTTGTAAAGGGCAACACACACATGATTGGGTGGGGGGGGGGGGGGGGGGGGGAGCTGAAATCTGATGTTGGGTCAAAAAGCACTTATATAATAGCCAAGCTGTAAGCCACAACCTAACATACCAGCCATACATTCAAGGACTAACGCACAAGCATGGATCTCAATGTGAATCAAACAATGAAGATCAACTATAGTGAGGACCTTACAGAAACACCACGTGCGGCAGTCTTGTTGGACACACTTACCAGTGTTTTCCCAGCAGTAATTCGCTGTGATAATAAATGCCTAGATCTTTTCAGCAACTCACACTGCTTTCAGCAACTTATGTTACCCAATTGTAGATGTTGAAACTAACTTATGCTAATACCTTGATATCTGTAGGTGTATGTGTGTGTACATACATACATAATACACACATATCTGTGTGTGGTGTGTGCGTTAGTACATGTTTTTCTTCAGCTGAAGTGTGTATACATTTTTGTGGCAGACTGCATTACTGAGAAATGAAGTTATCGGAAAGAATGCTGCCAATTTAAGATGCCCACATCTCCAATTCTCGCATGTCATCATCCTCTATGACCTGACCTATAAGAAACAAGAAGAAAAGAAAACAAACACACTTTAAGGTCTATTTTCAACAACAGGAGTCACCATGGCGGAGCGGACAGATGCTCGCTGTGGATCGGAAGGTCGTGGGTTCGATTCCTGGCAGAGCCGGACTTTTTTAAGAAACGACCTTGGCTCCCAGGTTGACCCAGCCTTGAGAGGGTACCGGGGGAAGTAAAGGTGGCCGACATGATGCAGACCACATCACCCATCTTGTGCCAATTGGTCTATAAAATATAGGGCTAGCCCTATATGCCCTAAACCTCTGAAGGCGTGGAAAAGGGTCCTTTACTTACTTTACTCAACTACAGGCTTGCATCTTCTTCTTCGCATTCACCGGCTGTAAACTCCGGCGGAAAGTTCTGGCTGTTCGTCCACTTCGGGACTGCAGTCCTGTTCCAGAACCTGGGGTCCTAATGGAGCAATGATGCGCAATACAAGACTCTTAATGTCTATTAGCCTCTCTTGCTCAAGCCTACCTCACCTTCACGTGGTGGACCCTGTTCTTCCCAGCAATCCAGTTGAAGGTTGGGGTTTCAACCCCCAGCGGGAAACTGGATGGGACAACAAACGAGGTAAAGGCGAAAGACGAAGGGATGAGCCTACTCTCCTCGAGTTCCTTGAGTATGATCACAGTCTACCCTAGCCAAACAAGGTGCTGAAGTCGGTGGCAACCAGCCAGGAGGCGCACCACAGCAATCAGGATGCCACGCACACACACCATGGAAATATGTCTAAATCAGCAAAACGATATGGTGCTTGCCCTGTGAAGAGTGTTGCGCGTGCATCAGGTTTTGACAAACCTGACTAATTTGTATCCCCATTTTCAAAACTTTGGCCCCTGAGTAAATTTGACTGACAGCGAACGAAAGAAGAAGAACTTGACTGACTAGCCCTGCTGCAGACCAGCTGGCACCACATGGGTCAACATCACGCTGGTCGCCTTTATTCCCATGAAATTTTCCTGGGTCAACCCGGGAGCCAGTGTCAAACGGTTGTGTGTAAATGTACATGGTGCACATTCGACCTCAAAACTTTTTTGGCCGACAGGCAAGTGTCTAAAAGTGTAGCAGCAGCAATTTAACAGATGATATCCTGTTCAACCATTCTGGATTATAAACTGGATTTACAGGTGTTTTTTTTTTGGGGGGGTTTCTTTTAATACTGGGAATTTAAGCTTATCTAATATTTTAGGCTTTACAGAGTGGTGGCCATCAGTCTGAGCTTGTCATTCTGAGAATGAATGATTGAAAGAATCAATCAAACAATTAGTCAATCAAGAACTGGCACCACTGCACTCAGGACATTCCCAAACCTGCTCCGTCTCCTTCTTCAGTAACCAATGAAGAGTTGAGATGCTAATGGTATACCAGCCAGATTAAAAGTCCTCCATTGTTTCCTCTTCAGCGCTAAATTTTTTCCCAGAACCCCTACTCATGAATTTGACCACCCCACTGTCTCTAGGAATGTTTTTCTAAGAATTCCACTTCTCTTTCGGTCTAAAAAGGAAGGCCTAATGGTACCCTAATAACTGCATTTACAAATCTATGTGTTGTTACAGCCAATTTAAACAGAAATACTATCCTCTGTGTTTGTTTTTCATTTGGAGGTGACAAGCGCGGGTCTATGCACAGTCATCATAATGTGTCATGCAAATTGGTCAGGGCTATTCAATTAAGTTTACTCAGGGACAACACATTTTTTAAATAGGGGCCGTCATGGGCTAGAAGCCAAAACCCCAAATTATAAATAAAAAAATCACGAATACAGTACAACTAGCAATGATCCGCTGGCCACTTGTTAGGCCTTCGCAGACCAGATTTGGCCTGCAGACCGACGACAGTTGAATAGCCCTGAAATAGGTGGTCATGATTCGCCATCTAACATGATCACCAAAATCTTGGATCATGTCCGAGTTTTAATCCTGCCCCCCCCCCCCCCCCCCCCCCCCCCCCCACTTTTGAAGCAGAAGAAATAAATATTTAAACACCATTCCATGTATAAGGAGGCTGCCGCGGTGTAGCAGTTAGACGCTCACCAGTGGATAGAAGGTCGTGGGTTCAGGTCCCGATGAAGCCGGCCTTTTCTTTTTTCTTGGTTCCCAGATCGACCAAGGCTTAAATGGGTACCAGGTAAAAGTCCTGGGAAGTGAAGGCGGCCGGCGGAATGTTGACCACGTCACCCACAAGTGCCGATTGGTCTACAAAAATATAGGTCTAGCCCTATTTGCCTAATATGCCTAAAGGTGTGGTGGAAAAGTGCCCTTTCATGTATAAGATTTTTTTCCAATTTTAAACTGAACCCTACCAGACCGCTGGCCCGATTTTCTGGGAATTTCCTAACCAGCCGCTATACCGCTGGCCCCATTTTCTGGGAATTTACGTAGTACGTGAAAAATATGCGTCACAGACTAAAAATAACCAGCCAATCGCCATCAGACTTTGTGGTTAGTCATTGTGAATGACTTCCGACGTGTGTTGAGATTTCTTTGTGTGGTTTGATGTGAAACAAATTCGGAAAATTTTCAATGAAACGAGCAGTTTCGACAAGAAAGTGACGTAGGTCTAGGCTTTTCGCAGTCCAACAAGTGATCGATACTTTGGTTAATTCAGACTGTTAATACATTCCTGAAGAATACATTCCCAGTTGAAATGACACAGTCAGTGAGAGCTAGAGTGAGGAGGAGAATTATGAAAATTATAGATTTAAAACTAGATCGATAGTAAGAGAAGGGGGCATGTCCCTCAAACAGCAACATCTGGTGCTCACTTTATGAAACAAGACTGATCCTACTAGGTGGATTGGCAAACAAAGGTGAAAGATTGGTGCTAGATGAAAGATAAACCTATTTTCTACAATGTCTCCAAGTTTTATCTTATTCTAACCACTTGTTTGCATGTAACTTATTTTTTGTACATCATGTTGGTTTTTGCGTGTTAGTGCCCAGGAGCTCAGGTTATAGGGACAGTTAGGTTCAGGGCCTCAGGTCTGGTAGGGTTAAGAACCTTTTTTGCAGAAAACTGTTTCATATACGGAAAATTAAGGCATTTATTCAAGATTTCCCTACAATGGGCTTACCTTTAGCTGCCCTTGGTTCTGCAGTGGGCACACTGGGCAAGTCCACTCCTGCTCCAGGTATCTGCAGCAACTGGCTGTCCAGCTCTTCTTGTTCCAGCTCATTCAGCTCTGCCAGTAATTCATCCTGCAAATGGGTAAATTGTCAACTATACTCAAAGTCACTGCATCAAGGTTATATTTATAGGTGCTTAGTCTCTCTCACAGTAAATTCTTCTTCTTTGTGGTTGTTTACCATCTCTGGACTTGTCCTGTTTCAGAGGATGGGTGTTGCATGCACATCTGTTTTACAGGTCTGACCTGTACATAGACTGTAGGTTCACTGCCTCTCAGGCAGATGCACTCCGACTTCGAAGGAACTTCTCAGTTAGTCAACTCTTACAACATGCTTTTTAGGCAGACAGGGGATCTATTATTGTTTTCCCCACAAAGGGGCCCAGGAAAGGTGCTTAGTCTCTCTCAGAGAACAGGAATGTTGAGTGTTCCTGCAATGCAGTATTTACGATTGTGGGTTATGTTGTCCCCCACCTGTTAATTGCCATAAGTGATGTCTAAAGTTGATTTGTCAAACTGTGTGAATGACCTCAAATTAATACTCCCTAGGAAGAAGGTGACATTTAGGAGGTGAGGAGAGGGGTATTCAAACCAAGGAGACAAGGAGACAGGTGTACAAATTCATGAAGAAAATGTATGTGTATGGAGAGGGGAGGGGGAGGCGGGTGGTCTATGACAGATGGGAGCAGGTGTACAGATTCGGGAGGGCAGTGAATATGTGGAGGCTGAGGAGAAAAGTGGGTAGGCGTTTGATCAAGCAACTCTTCGCTGCAGAAGATGGGGGACCTGAACACTTATGGGAGTGTCCCGAGTGAGGTGATGTCGATTCATAATTCAACATTCAATCCAGGAAGGAGCTGAATATTTGGCGGTCTAGGAACGAAGGGGGCAGGTGCTCAGATCCAGGAGGAAGTTGAATATTTGGGGGTCTAGGAAAGAAGGGGGCATGTGTTCAGATCCAGGAGGAAGTCGAATATCTGGGGGTCTAGGAAAGAAGGGGGCAGGTGCTCAGATCCAGGAGGAAGTCGAATATCTGAGGGTATAGGAAAGAAAAAGGACACACAGAGATCTACACAGGTCTACAACTACTATCATCATCAGCATGTGGCATGCATTTGGGAAAGGGGGAATCGTGTATGCGTTCTTGTGCCGGCTAAGCCCTCCAGCTCTTAGTCTTCCACATCTGCTTTTCTTATTAAGTTTGCCAGCTGCAATTAAGTTTCCATTTTATTTCTTCTCAAAACATGTCCAGAATATCTTGCCTAAACACAGTTTACGGTTTTCATCGCAGAAGTACAAAATAACCATATTAATTAAAGTAAATAACACAAAAATAAACAAAACCGAGCAAATTTAAATATCTAGGGTCATTTTTTCACCTCAGATGGAAGAATGGATAGAGAATTCAACATGTGATGTGCGAAAGCAAATCAGATTATGGGACAATTTACACTGCATGCACACACATACTTATGATGGCAATGAAATATTTATCCGGATAAAAACCTATAAAATATATCTTTACGTATGCGTGCATGCACACACACACACACACAGTTGTGATGGCAATGAAATATCTATCCGTATAAAAACTTATAAAATATATCTTTGCGTATGCGTGCATGCATACACACACACAGTTGTTATGGCAATGAAATATCTATCCGGATAAAAACTTATAAAATATACCTTTGCGTATGCGTGCATGCACACACACACACACACTTGTGATGGCAATGAAATATCTTCCAGGACAAAACTTAGCGGGCACACACACACTTGTGACAGCAATGAAATATCTATCTGGATAAAAACTTATAAAATATATCTTTGCGTGTGTGCCCATGCATGCGCTCTAACACACACATTCATGCACAAACACAAACACTTGTAACGACAATGAAATATCTATATGGAAAAAAAAAAATATATATATATATATATATCTTTGCGCACACACACTTGTCTTCTTCTTCTTCTTTCGTTCACTTGAAATAAATTATCTATACAATGTTGTCCCTAATATAAACTTTACTGTCTTTTGTCATTCACTCAGCGACCCGTAAAGTTTGTTTTGCACCGATGTTTCTCTTGGGCAAAAGTTTGGCCTTGATATGTTGTATTTGGGACAGTCTTGGAGGACATGATCTGTTGTCTCAGGTGCCAATCCACACACTAGTGACAGCAGTGGAATATCTTCTAGGACAAAACTTATTTAGGACATCCACAGACTTACTTCGTCTACATCATTATTGAAGCCCACGGGGTTTGAGATGGCTTCTGAGATCTCCCTGGCTATATCCTGCTGCTCTGCAACATCATCCATCAAATCATGGACTTTATCGACGTCCCTGTCAAAATAAAAAAAAAAATAAAAAAAATATATTGTATCAAATTATCGGCTTAATTGACATCCATGTGTAAAAAAATAAAACCTATCATTTCGTGGACTTTATTATGTCCTAACATTGTATCAAATTGTGGAAGTCCCTGTAAAGATAGATACAAACACATTTTGTAACAAATCATGCACTTTATCAAAGCCTTTGTAAAAACACAAAAACATACTATATCAAATTGCGGGCTATACCGACATCCCTGTGCAAACACAACCACAATTTTGAGCAAATTATTTATTCATATCAAGAAGAAACTTAATTCATGTCCCTAGAAAAAAATACAAATGCACACACAAATGCTATCAAACTGTTCACTTAATCAAAGTTCCTGTAAAAATACAACAACATACATACTATAACGGTGGTTTTCAAACGTGCTGGTGGTGGTGGTGGTGTGTGTGTGTGGGGGGAGGGGGGGGGAAGGTGTTAAAAATTTTTGATATTATACTAGCATTTTTGTTCGGTTTAATTATAAATAAAATAGTCACTGTCATTTCTACCTGTATGTACCACTTTTTAGGGCGGTGTAGAGAGAGAGAGAAGGGGGGGGGGGGGGGGGGGTCGTGAGCCTGAGGATTCATGGCTGCATGGCTAGTGTTGTTGCCATGAACTGTGCGGTTTAAAAAAACTGGCATCACCACTTGGGTCTCCTGCATGAGAGCCTGATGGTTGTTGTTACCACCATTACAGCCATAAAAACAAACAACAAAAACAGCACGGCCAGCCTGATATGGGGAGGGATCTCTGTTGTGCCTTGTCCAACATCTGACCAAGAACAGCAGACAATATCATCAGGATGAAACAGTCTCAACCATCACATCGATATTTGGACACTAAATTACCTGTTGTTGGTGACTTTTCTTTAAAGTTGTTTGACACTTTGATTTACGTGGATGTTTTCCTCTGAGTTGTTGTTAATAGTGCTTGGAATTTGTTAACACTGCTTGGAATTTGTTAATAGTGCTTGGAATTTGTTAACACTGCTTGGAATTTGTTAATAGTGCTTGGAATTTGTTAACACTGCTTGGAATTTGTTAACACTGCTTGGAATTTGTTAATAGTGCTTGGAATTTGTTAACACTGCTTGGAATTTGTTAACAGTGCTTGGAATTTGTTAACACTGCTTGGAAATTGTTAATAGTGCTTGGAATTTGTTAACACTGCTAGGAATTTGTTAATAGTGCTTAGAACTTGTTTATAGTGCTTGGAATTAGTTAACAGTGCTTGCACTTCTTGTTTCCTCCTCTTTCAATCATATTTATGTATAATAAAAAAAAAATAAAGGTGGGGTGGGGGAGTTGTCATTATTCAAAAAAGGCGAGGGGGAAATCTGACAAAAAGTTTAAAACCACTGCACTAATTGTGGATTTTATCAAAGTCTTTGTAAAAATACAAACACATGCTCCACCAAAAAGTGAACTTTCTCCATGTGCCTGCAAAATTATAACCAGACACTCCACATAGTAATGTACTTTATCCACGTGCCTGCAAAATTATAAGCGGACCCTCCACATAGTAATGTACTTTATCAGTGTCCCTGTTAAACAGCAAACACACACACACTATCAAACTTTGCATTTGATCAACATAACCAAAACAAAATACACCCACCCACACTCACATAGATCCCACAACTACAGGCATGATTGGGGAGGTCCTGTTCACACTTCCAGGCCCATCTACACATTTCCTCAGTCTGGTCTAGATCAGAGGGGTGTCACGTTGTACTGTTTATTTCGAAAAAAGGTATCTTTTGGGACCTAGGCTCAGGTTGTGGGTAGGGGGGTTTGGGTTAGGGCCAGTTCTAGATGTTCTGGGGTCGTTCAAAGCTGTGTCGTCGTGTAGTATAGAACACACAACATCGGCACTGATATAATTTGAGGCAAGACAACGTGACACCCCTCTGATGTAGAACAGTCTGACTGAGAAAGCATGAATGAAAGGTCAGGCAGTGTGTAGATGGGCCGGGAAACGTGAATAGGACCCACCGGGGAAAAGTGTGCAGTGAAACTAGTCAACTAAAGTAATGTCTGCTTGAAAAAATACCTGTGTTCAAGGGTGAATGAATTCGTCTGTAAGTACAGTTTAGTTTATGCCTGCTTGATGTGTGAATTTCCCTGATGATGTAGGACTGAGTGTTAATATGCACTGATTAAACAAATGTGCACTTTTGAGTTCTGAATCCTGTCTGGGACGTCTGCTAGCTGTTTTTGTCTGCGTGTGAGTTTGGATGCATGCTCGACAACCACTTACAAGCAAGACAGTGTGAAGAATGTAAGTGCATTCAGTACAATGCCTCAAAAAGATTGCATATTCAACGGGGATCTGAAACCAAGAACTACAGGCCAGCATACAAATATCCAACCACTATGCCACTATCGCCCCACACTATATTATCACTGTGGCAAAGTGGTCAAGCCATCTGCCTCATGGGTTTGTTTCTGTTTAGTTCACCTTTATCTGTACCCACCCTCTCACCTTCACCTGTACCCATCCTCTCACCTTTACCTGTACCCATCCTCTCACCTTTACCAGTACCCACCCTCTCACCTTTACCAGTACCCACCCTCTCACCTTCACCTGTACCCATCCTCTCACCTTCACCTGTACCCATCCTCTCACCTTTACCTATACCCATCCTCTCACCTTTACCCATCCTTCCAACTTCACCTGTACCCATCCTCTCACCTTTACCCATCCTTCCAACTTCACCTGTACCCATCCTCTCACCTTTACCTGTACCCACCCTCTCACCTTCACCTGTACCCATCCTCTCACCTTTATCTGTACCCACTATATTAGGCACTCACATGTTGTTATGGGCACCCTTCAAGGCTTTGGCAGCTTGCCCCATCACTGTAATAACTTGCGTACTTGTGCTGGCGTTCTCGAGGGCTTCTCTCTGGAATTCAATCGTAGACAGTGTGTTGTCAATCTGCTCCAGCTGCTTCTCGTACCGCTTCTTTCTCTTCAAAGCTTGCAGGGCCACTGACAGAGGAAATAATAATTTAAAAAAAAAGAAACAATGAATATTTCAGGCAGACATGAAGATTTATACACCAAATATACAAAATGCAGTAGATCAGTGTTTCCTAAACTTGTCTTGGTCGCGACGCATTTTTTCAATTAAAATTTTTCCACGGCGCCCTAACCAAAGTAAAAGTATGACTATTTGTATGTAAGAGATTTAAAAAAAAAAAAATTAAACTCGTGTATTTTAGAATAGTTTGCGGCGCCCCTCTGAAGACTGAAATTCCCTGGGGGGCCACGGCGCAAAGTTTGGAAATCACTGCAGTACACACAAAAGTGGCTCATCTCAAGGCGTCGACCTGTGAAGCATATGATGCTCAACTCATATTTAATGACACTTAATGGGTGATGTGGTCTCAAATGGACTAAACTGTTTACCCTGTTCGCTCTATGAATGCTTAAAAGAAAAGGAAGTGCCATTATTATCATCATCATCATCAATTTACATGTCTTTTGTTAAGCCTCATGGGGAAGGACAGTTTGGGGTCCATTGCTTGATAGGCAGAAATGGCTACTGTCTTTCCATCAGTGGAAATTCCCAGAAAAATCCTTTACAAACAACTATCTTACACATGACACTGAAAAAAAAAATGTTAAAAATGTATTTACCTTCATTGTAAAATTGTCCTTTTAAACTTCTAAATATACATTGAAAAACGTGTTTAAAAAAAAAAAGGTAATCAAAAAACGAAGAGGCGAAGCCTTAAATGGAATACATTTCCCTGGGCTGGAAAAAAAAAAAAACACCACGATTTGTATCAGGTGACTCACATTAGGACCCTATGACCTCTATCATGAGGGCTATGGGAACATTTGACATCAACTTGGCTTTACAACAAAGCCATTGGAGTCATAAGGAAATGTCGACTTCCATTTTCAAAATGATGGATAGCAGTAGTGTTGTTTTTCACTGGCTGTCAATTCTCTCGGATTGTTCTATTTCCTAATCATGGACTGCTATTTTGTGCGCATTTCCCAACGCAGGATACTATGTGTTTGTCGAGGGAGCAGCGTGTATTGTAGTTGTGCTATGTCGGGGCAGGATAATGGCCGACAGTTTTGGCAGCCTCGACCACGCTGCCTTCGCAATGTTTTAATTGTGGCGGTCCACTCGGCAAGGACTGCAACTGTCTAGAGAGAAAGCTCAATTAAAAGCTGCCCCCAGAAACGGAATGTGACAACCATTTTTTTGTGTGGAGAGGAATCGACACATACATTTAACTCAATGGTCATAAGTAAATGTCGACAACTGCTAATATTTTTTGTGTTTTTGATTATAGTCATATCCTCATCTTAAACACAGCACAATCGCACATTAGAAACAATGGCATTTAACTATACTTTTCAAGAAATAATAAGTAAGCTATACTTGAGTTCTGTGAGTCCGGTGGTGACTTATAAACCCAATACGGGCCCCAGAGGATCTAGGTCTGTAGGTAAGGCGTCTGTCATACGAGTCTTTCTAGCCTGCCTGCGCTGCTCAGTTGCGCTTTTTGTTGAAGCCTCCTCGCAGTTTGCTGCTACTCTTTGAACAGAAGTTCGTCATGTAGACCAACCAGTCTTGTGCAGCAGCCTCCCAGGTGTCAGGGTCTATACTAAAGGCTTTAAATGATTCTTTCAGCATGTCCTTAAAGAGTTTGTCTGGCCACTACGAGAGCATTAACCTTCCTGTATCTTACCATATAAGATTATTTTCAGATGCAGATGGTCTGGCAAGCAGACGACGTGACCTGCCAATCAAATCTGCGACTGCATCAGGATATCAATGCTGGAAATGCCACCCCTACCCAATATGACAGTATCTGGGACCCTGTCATGCCACCTGATTTTCAGTATTCACAGTGGGTATAGTAAAAGCCATTCAACTAAGTTTACGTAGGGGGTCAACATTTTGATAATGGGGATCGTGACGGGCTAGAAGCCCAAAGACGATCAAATTAGTGACATGCAGAATGCAAACGACAGCCTTACCGACAGTTTTCAAACTGAGCTTCATCCAGGTATTTTTATTACTCTAAAAAATACTAAACTTACAATTTTTAATTCTAATGCCAAATCAGTACTTTTGTATGGAGCAGAAACATGGAGAATAACCAAGGCAACTACTAATAAATTACAGACATTCATTAGCTGGTTCCTGCACAGAATAGAGGGAATTAAATGGTATGATAGAATCACTAATGTACTGTTTTGGGAGAGAACTAAGCAAGCTCCAGTGGACCAAGAGGTGAAGAAAAGACGCTGGCGTTGGATAGGACACACATTGAGAAAACCGGAGAACAATATAACTAGAATGCCTTTGCACTGAAACCCACAGGGGCATAGGAATAAAGGAAGGCCCAAAAATCACAGGGAGAAGAGAGCTGGAGAATGGAGTTGGAAAGATAGGGAGGACATGGGGAGAACTGCATGCGATAGCGAAAGACAGAACGAGTTGCGTGAGAGCCTATGCTCCATTGGGGGCTAGAAAGGCAGAAGAAGAAGATGGTTGCACCTATGACTGGTATCACTTTAAGCCATACAAGCATTGTTTTCAGTTAAATTTTGTTAACTTCTGTTACAAGTGCATACTCAGCCTTTTTAATTTTGAGTGATGATGAAAACCAGACCAGAATTGTTGTACTGATGATTCAGAAACTGCCAGCGAATGTAGGCTGATAGCGTTAATTCTTGGATAAGTAGAGATATACTAGTGAATGTTATCATCATATCGCAACTGAAAGTACTGACAACGATGGTAGACTTGATAAAGGTGATGTAGGTACATCTGAAGAAAGAAGTGGGCATGGTATGAAAGACCAGAACATTCCTACAGCTGGAAATGCTGTCTGCAAATGAAGTAAGGCTGCTCAAAATGCTTTTAAAATCAAGCATTTACAAAAAATAATTCACTGGAAAATCTTTAAAATTTCAGTCGCACTTAATCATACTTTATCGACCTTCAAAAAGCTTCCGACAGTATCCACCATCCTACAATTTGGAAACTACTTACAATCTATGGTTTCCCTACCAAATACATCAATGTCATAAAATCCGGCTCTCCTGTCAAATCCGGACGAAGAATAAACAGCCGTGGACGAGTTAGTCAGAGTTCTCTCCCTTGGCCGCACTCCGAACAGTAATCGGAAAACAAACGAAATAAACGACACACTTACCTATCATCCTGCGGTTGCGTGTAGGGCTGCGTACGGTTTCGTGAGGCATTGTGAATGGTTGTGTAGTCATCATCATGCGGTTGTTGGGTTAGAGTTAGGGGTAGGGTTAGGGTTAGGGGTAGGGTTAGGGTTAGGGGTAGGGTTAGATGTGAAAATTTTGACGTAGGATTTCGAAATACTGGCCGACAATCAGATGTTTGTGGGAGTGGCGCCACTGAAACTCTGCCAAATATGACGCCAATAGCGTGCGGCTGGTGCCTCCAATCGTTGGCGAATTGTGCGTTTGATTAGCATCCAGAGGCCCTCGATTGTTTGTGTGTGTATGGGACTGTGCGCGATTATAGGGAACTCCGGCGTCAAAATTGTCAAATATAACGCTAAACTTAACCCTACCGCTAACCCTAATCCTAATTCTACTCCCTAGCCCTAACCCCTAACCCTAACCACGCAAATTTATCGATCATTAAAGCATACAAATCGGCAAAAACCAACAAACAAAACACACCCAAAAAAAAAAACAGATTTGTCCTGCAGCGTCAATAAAAAAACCAGATCTGGGGGAAACAACCAAGCATTGGCAGCCCTGATGTCAACGTCACTGTTTTCTTTGTTTCGTTGTGGCTTTTCCGATCACTGTTTGGAGTGCGGCCACGGGAGAGAACTCTGACTAAGTCGTCCAAGGCTTTTTAGTCTTTGTCCGGATTTGACAGGAGTACCTAAAATCCTTCTACAATCAAACATGTTGCAGTGTAAGAACAGAATCCGGCAACTCTGACTGGTTTCCACCAGTGGAAACAGGAGTGAAACAAGACTGTCATATCATTGATGCTCTTTGGAATAGGTAAGACCAAGTATCGTATAACAGCATCAACTCTCCTACCACAATAGACTTGCCCACAGTCTGGACACCCCCTCATTAATTGGTGTATCTATATATCAGATAGTCCGTCTGTAGATATATAGTTCCTTTGTTGTTGGGTAGTCCAGATGTGAGAAACATAGATAATGTCCCATGACGTACAAGGATACTTTAAGTGTGGACCTGAGATTGAATGACTACTGCAAAACTTTAGCTTCAAAATCTTACCATTCGTTTCAGTCTTTGAAATGCTTGGTGTCGTTGTTTGAGAGATAGTAGAATGTCATTACACATGCTAAAACGTTGTGAGTTATGCCTTTCAATTTCAAAGATACATTTCATTATAAATCGAAATATAAATAACTACAGGTACGTACTAAGTCAGTTACTGAAATTCCCATATACTATGATATACGATTAATAGTATTCACACTTCTCATATACGAAAAACCAAAACAAACACTTACCTCTTTTATTTTTCGTCCCATTCTTCCTAGCTATAGCCAGTTCAGCCTCCACCTTTTTCTCTAAGAAGTCTGACTTCTTCGTCAACATTTCCTCAACCTCTCGCAGTTTCTGTATTCCTTCCTGTGGGGTCGGCGGCTTTTCTTTACCGCCAGCGAATATTTTCTTGAACATACTCATTTCTAGAGAATTTTCACAGGTCTTCTCGCTTTCAGAACAAATCAAACAATGTTTTCAAACAAAGTGTACGAATATTTATCAGCTAAAGTGGTTTAAAATAGACAAGATTGCCTCAGATGTAGGTGACTGTGAGTCAGGGACTCGACCCGACTGATTTGATTTGTTGTTCCTGGTTGGCGTCTGCGAATGACTGCGAGTACACACATACAGAGCTGCTGAAGTTGGTACTTTCGTACACATTTGGCTCAATTTGACCATAGACGAGCAAAACTCCACGACACTGGAATAGAGCAAAACTGTACTTTTGGTAACACGGCCGATTTTTTGGTAAGTTAAAGTAATTTTTTAAATCATTATTTTAAAAAATGTACAGTCCCCGCAATGTACCTGTCAAACCGGATCACAAACACATGAGCACATTCTGCAGACTTGCACACTCTACGTACAACTTCAAGAAGACACCTGGCAAAGTGTGCAGAGCAAGCTAGGTAACCCACCTGACGGTCTGATCTGAGCATACGAAACCGAACGCAAAGAAGAAGAAAAAGATTTTAAATGTTGGCACAGTATGCTGGATCCAATAAATATTACAGAAGGAAGACGTCAGTTATACCATTGGTCATGCAATCCCTCAGCCCTGTTGAAAAAATTGTGAACAAATAAACAAAGAAATGATGAAACACACGCACACACACACACACACACACACACACACACACACACACACACACCGCAGAACAATGTCGGTTAATAGTTTCGGAAGAAAGTATGGAGATGAAAATAGCTTTCTGTCAGTAACAAGGTTTATCCTTAGTCTTTTGACATTAGGTAGGTAATTGTACCACACCAGGACATCACACAAAGCGATAAACACTCGGTGACAGAAAATGCCACCATGCGAATGATGATCACCCGTAGAGAGGTCCTGAAAACCCCGTTCAACCGTTAGGCCATATTTCGGACGCGGCTATCTTTAGGACTCAAGGCAAAAGCCATGTTGTGGCTTCAAAATATCTAAAAATTGCAACCCACATGGAGATGACGAGAATGACAATATTTTGACATTACTCATTACTGCGAAATAAGAGGTTTCTCCCTGTTTAACAGTAATGAGATTTAAAAAAAAAAAAAACCAATAATCGCTTGTTTTTTTTGATGAGATAAAAGTTATTGGCCCAGAAAATTAATTGCATCAACGTCTCCTTCTCAGGAGCCTCATTGTGAAAAAAATAGATCAGTGGCCTCAAACAAGAGTTTCGTAAGAAGATACTAATTAGCTTTTCGAAGGCAGGGTGCATCGCCCTGAGAGGCAACAGTTTAACCAACAACGAACCAACGGTCTGCGTTGACCTGCGGCACCCCATACCTTGATAGAAATTCACGCAGCCAGCAGTGGTTTTCGATCGCCGTAGGTTGGAATTACGAGTCGAACTCGCAACGCCTAAGCCACGGACGCCACATACATTCATACATACATCATCATTTCTCCTCGTCTTTGTTCAAGATATTCTGAGAATCTTTCTATAGCATTTCAGCTCAAAAGCCTCTATTCTCTTTCTTAAGGATAGGGAGATAGTCCACAACTTACATCCGTATGTTGCTACAGGGAAGATGCATGCTCTTAAAATTCTTATTTTGAGCTCCTTGCAGGTGCTTAAACATAGACTTTTAGCGTCATCGTATTCGGTGAAGATAAAAAAGATACATGGGATAGGACATTATCATCATCATGTGCGTGGCCTGAACCCGGGACCTCTAGGACGAGGCGGACACCATGCCTCGAGACCACGCAGCTCACTTTTTACAGTTAGTAAATTAGTGAAAACTTATTTGGAAGCTGGGGAAATGTGGTTTTATAGACGAATGATGTGAATACCCTGGACAGATAAAAAGAGTCATGAAGACGTCTTGAGAGAAACTGACTCACAAAGAGAACTGAGTGCCCACATCAGAAAGAGACAATCTACATTCTTTGGTCATGTGATGAGAAGGAGAAAACTGGAGTACGTCGTGACAGTAGGAAAGGAGGAGGGGAGGAGAGGCAGAGGGAGACCGAGAGAACAGATGCTGGTCGGTTTGACATCATGACATGGAAGATGATCTGTATTAGAGTTGATTGAAAGTATACGAGAAAGCACCTCGAGTGCTGGATGTCCCGGGTTCAAGCCCCGGTGAAGGCTGAGTTTTTTTCATATATTCTAGTAATTTTCTCTGGTCTTTGTGTACTAAGATCGGACGCCCATATGTATTGTTGCCCACGTAATAATAATAATATCCCTTGGTAGTTGGAAATCGAAAAAAAAAAAAAAAGAAAAAAGAAAAGAGTAGCCTAACAGCGCTGTCCAGCTAAAATGTGTAGTTAAAAATATACCCAAAGTATTTCAGGATCCTCGCTGGTGTTACGGAGTTCGGGCACTGTGCTGAGGTTTCCAGACTCGGGCTCGAGTCAAAAGCTGAACTAAGCCATGATGTTCATCCATCGTTTAAACCTAACCTAATATGGCTGATAGTCAGGATTACTGTGTTTGGTCCTGGCAAGTTTTTGCTTCTGAAAATTGTTACCCGTTGCATTTTCCTCCATCTGTAGACTGAAATAGTACAGTTGCATCGCCCAGCTATCGCTTTGAGTGCAAAGCAGCCCGACGGTGTAATTTGCGGCTTTAATTTGGAATGCTATATTTCGCTGTTATATCCCTTCAAACGTTAATTCTTGTCTGTCCAAAATGTGAGTTTAAAGGGAAATAACAGAGATATTTATATTTTTTTTTTCAAACTTATTCTTTATGGTTCGCCCGATTGACGAAAATACGTTGCACCTGTTTCTAGCATCATCATCATCGTCATCATCATCACTATGTGCCCTGCCAACTGGCCTAGGCGCTCATGCATCTCCACAGATCAGGATCCCTGGTTGCCTGGAACAGCTCTCTTGATGATATCCTTCCATGCCAACGTTTCAGCCCATCCAGCATCATCTCTGTTGGTCTGCCTTTACCCCTCTTTCCACTTATCTTTCCAGTTGTCATGATGTTTTCCAGTGTCTCTCTTCTCATTATGTGGCCAAAGAGCAGTGTTTGTCTTCTTCTTATCGCTGTATATAGAGATCTACTTTCTTTAGTCAAACAATCGTTGTTAATTACTATTGCCGTTCGAGGCATTCGTAACATTCGTCTCAGAAACCACATCTCTGTTGCTTCCAAATTCTTCTTAATTTGTTACCTGACATTCCAAGATTCGCTGCCATACAGAAGAACAGGTTCTATTCAACATTTTAGCACTCTCAAAAGCATAACTGCGGTATTTGCGCTTTTCGACTGACGCATCCGACCTTTTTCTTTTTTAAATATAATGGGAACTGAATCCCCTCTCAAGAGAAACTTATGCTTGCAAGCATTTGCGTTGTGATCCTTTTGAGGCATTTTGTTTTCCCAGGTTAGCCTTCCAAGTTAGTTTTATGGGGCTGGAAGGCGCACCTGATTTGTGTGGTGACCTTTTTCCTTGCGTGATCCACGTATCATCCATCCAGTTGTAGATTCCCCGGTTTCAACATGGGACTCATTTGTTTGGGCCTTATTTTAAAGCCCTTCCCGGTTGTCATCAAATATAACATACGGGTTGTTTTTGTTGTTGTTATAGATCCAGCGGCGCATGAGCTTTCGCCCTCTGGCCCAATGCCATGTAGTGGAATTTGAATGTTTTCACAAGCTGTTCTTTTCCTCCGTACAAGGTGTTCCATTTGTCTGGTCTCGGAGGGAGTAGCATTATTCTAGTCTAGCTGAGTTTTGGGCACTCAAAGAGATGGTGTTCACCAGTTTTGTAGAGGTAGTTACATAGCTGGCACTCTGGGGAGTGTTGTGGTTGTATTCTGTTTAGATGTCCACTGAGTGGAGTATGTTGTATTCTGAGTCTGAAGATGGTGGCCTGGTCCCTTCTTGTTAAAACAAACGGGTTAAACGGGGTTTCTGGGACTTGTGCCCATGTGGTTCACATCCGAACGGTGGCACTTTGTGTCACCAGATGTTTGTCACTCTGGTGCTGGTGGGGTTGAACGTCAGTCTTCCACGATTCATCCCTCAAGTCTAAACACATTTACCAATTGTGTCTAAAGTCCCGAATCGAGAGACCTTAAGTATTAAGTCATTTGCGAGTCGTGCGTGGGACATTTGCGTGGGACATTTGCGTGGGACATTTGCGTGGGACATTTGCGTGGGACAGTATTAAGCAGCTTTGGCGAAATTACAACACAGGGAATGCCAGTACGAAAAACTCTCCGAACTATATGTTCAGCGGAAGGAAGAAGTAGAATGTGAAAGCCTAATAAATCGAAACAGTTTTATATGGAGTCATTTTAAATTGTGTCGTTAATCACCAAACTTCAGAATGGCCGGCCACGAAGCACAGATCGTAAAATGTCGCTAAAATGTTTCATTTTTAATCGACATTATAGCACTCGGGACACTCCCATAAGCGCCCCGTTTCCATCTTCAACAGCAAGCAAATAGTTCAAATTCCGATGGCACCAGTAACTCTCTGATTGTTTGTCTGTCTTGCCTTTACCTTGAGTGTTGAGCGTCTCCCAGATGCCCGGGTAACTCCCCGCAGCATGCTCCTCAGACCGTAATGATCGATCTGTGCCCCTGCACTGTTTACTCGCTCCCAAAGGGCTATCACAATATTTAGCTTGCCATACATCAATTCACCACCAAGTGGTGCAGAACCGGCCAATCTATCTGCCTGCTCATTTCCTGACGCACCGGCATAACCTGGAGAAAATACCGTGTCGCTAAAGGTACATATCGCAATCGACCCGCGAATCGCTGGACTAAACCACTGTCACATATCACTCCTGTCGCGTGCCTAATGTAAGGATTTCTCCTTCAGAACCAACAGCACTCAGAGATAATTATGTTGAGTCGTTTGGCTCGTATTGGTCTAAGGGATTCCCCGTGGCCAATATACGATCAACTTATCTCTGGAGTAGGGCAACTCAAGTATTGGCA